GCATCTGCTTTTGTTGTTGTTGTTGGTGCTGCTGCTCCTGCTGCTGCTGTGTGCACTTAGGATTTGGCTCTAGGGCGTATTAAAGCTTTTACAAATCGTAAGCATAATTTATTTTGTTAGTCTTCGTTACAAGTTGTTGGCTGGGCAAAGTGCGACGATGGCCACCTAATAGAATTGTAGAGCAGCCACAGCTAAAAAAGAAAGTTGTGCACGGCGTGGAGTTGCTCGACAAAGTGGTCGACTTTAGGAACAAGTCACGTGGCGGGCAAATGAGCAGCGCGGCAAGCGGTCAGTTCGCTTTATGATCGTTATTAGGCAAATGTGTGCATAAAAATGTTTACATTGCTCTCTGCAGAGCATATGCAACTATTTGCGCCCATAAAAGTAGGCAACACTTTTGTGCTGCCTGGGCAACAGTTACTGTCTGTTGGGGCAACAGCAATAATCAAGAGCAGCTTGACAGCAATTGCTGCTTTAAATATGCTATTCATTATATAGCCAAGCAGTTGTTTATATCGCCTTAATTACTCACAACATTCGGGCCACAAATGGCCCATAAAGTTAACACCTTTTAATTTTGGCAACGCCCCCACAATGTGCATAGGTAATCACAGTCAGTCGCTCAAGTAAGTCACATGGTTTGCCACGCCCACGCACACACGCACACACGCACACGCACACGCATGCCAAACACAAGAGAATTATAGCACATACGCAGGCAGCATTGTCACCCAGTTTCACTTACAGCACATAAATATTTCAGCTTGCAATAAGAAAATAGCTCGAAATATGTTAATGAGATGGGCGCGAGGCAAGTGCGAATATTATTCATACATATCCAAGGCTTATGGCTTGACGTGGGAAATGCAGCTAAAGGCAAAGGCAGCCAGAGGAAGAAAGCCGCGCGGGGGGAGCTGGAGAGCGGGAGGGCAATGCAAACGGCAAACAGCATCAGCATCAGCATCAGCATCAGCAGCAGCAGCAGCAGCTGCGAAAATTGTATGTGTGAAAACTGTGAAAGCAGGCAGTAAGCTGCAGAAAATCTACATAAGTCGGTCAAGGACACTGCAGAAGGCTGCGGCTGCCACCAAATTGCCTTTAAATATAATTATTTTCCTTTATGCGTCAGTGACAGCCAAATACATGTGCCACTGTATGTGTGTCTGTGTGTGTGTGCGTATATGTGTTGGTAAGCTGCTGCCTGCCAACGACATTTACATTTGTAATACACACACACACACAGATAGAGGCGCACGGAGAGGCATACGCAAAATAACTGTACAGAGAGGCCAAAGGCAACGACATCGGCAGCGGCATCATCCATCGCATTTCGCTTGTAGATACTCAGCCAGATAAGAAAAGACACGTTTATGACGTCAGTGGAGCATTTTAGGCCCACATTTTTTGCAGCCTGACACAAAATGTTGCCACTGCTGACTGTGCTGCTGCTGCTGCTGCTGCTGCTCGTGCTGCGGCTGCTCTAGCGCGCGCAAATATCATCGGCAGCGCCAACTACAACTACAGCAGCAGCAACAACAACAAACAATAATAACAGCAAAAAGAGTGAGCGACTCACTTTCTCTTTGAATAGAAGAGAGCGCTCAAAGCTTTTGCGCTCTTCCCTAGTTGTGTCACATCAACAACAGCTTAGCTTAGCCTATCGCTCTCTCTCTCGCTCTCGCTGTCGCTCTCTTGGGCTCTCTCATCTATAACCATAAAATCAAATCACAACAATAACCATAACCATATAGCAAAGATTTAATAACTGTGATTGGAATTTGAAAAATGAATTTTTCCTCTGTTCGTAATTTTTTTTTTTTCTGTTTTTTTGTCATATACCAAAATTGTTTGTCTTGTTGTTTTTGGTTTTCTTCTCCTTTTTGAATGGCCTTCACTCAGCCTCCCTCCACCCCCTACCATTGCCACCACTGCCCCTTCCCTACGACTATTCTCTTATTTCGTTTTCGTGTCATTTCGTTTCGTTTTGGTTTTAGTTTATTTACGTGGATTATTTAATGGATTTTGCCGTTGCGGATTCGGCATTGAATTTCCTTTGTAAATATTGTCCATGTAATTGGAGCGCTCAGTTTTTATAGTGGCAAAGATGGAACTATTATTATTATTATTATGTGCTCTCATGCTAGATTTAGCAAATGAGAATATTTCCCAAATGAATGTGCACAATTTGACGCGGCCCAAAGGGCATCAATTCATATTGAAGTTGGGGCCACAAAGGCAGCTCCAGCAAATAAACAGTTATTAAAGTTTACAGCGCACAGCCGGAGCTATTTATATTGCAAGAGATGCAAAAAGCACGCAAATATTTCTCATTTCGACAATTTTTGTGGTTCGATTGAGGAATTTTCATAAACTTGCAGATGAAAAAAGTGCATAAAGCTCCTCCCAAGTATTATTTATAGATTTGTTTGGCGCAGCCATCAAAATCAGTAACCGCAGAGAAAAAGAGAAAAAATCGCAAAATCGAAATCGGTATTTAACAATTTTTTATAATTTCCGGTGCGGCAGCGTCCGCTTTCATTTCCGCTGTCGCTTTGCAACAATCGCAGCAGCAGCAGCAGCGGTAGCAGGAGTCGGAGAGGGATGAGCAGCGGCAGCTACAACAAGGATAACATGACAAGATTTATTTGCGCGCCATAATTATAAACTGTCCTGTTGGGCGCTACAATTCGAGGTCCTTTTGTGTGCCAGTTCATTTTGTTTACTTTGCCGCACGCCGCACGCTAAATTTGCCAGGCGCAGCAGACAACAGCAACAACAGCAGCAACAACAAGCCAGTGAAATGTGGAAAATAAAAAATGAAGCCGACTGCCGCTGGCAGCGCTGCGCCTCGAATTGCCCCACGGACACGCAATTGGTGGCAGTTAGCGCTCGCGTCCGATGCGGTGCGCAATTTCTAGGCCAAAGCTCTGTCGGCCAGCGTGAGGGAGGTGTCGGGCTGGGGCAGAGTGGGGCAGAGTGTGGCGTGGGGCGTGGCAGGCGTGTGCAGGCCTCAAGCAAAGTGCTGGCCCCGAGCCTTTGACAGCTCAACATCAGCGGCAGCCGTGGCGACGTCTGTCCAACTCGTGGCAAATCTGCGAGTATGTCTCTCTGTGCGTGTCAGTGTGTATGTGTGTGTGTGTGTGTGTGTGTGTAGCGGGTGCAAAAGCTTCTGCGGCTGTTGGCGGCATTAAACACAGCCGTCGTAGAAGTGTTTTGAAATCCAATTACCAGCGCAAATTTAATTTGTTGCTGCACTCGAAAAAGTTGCCAACTTGCCCCCCGACGCCTCCTCACACTGCCCGCTCGCTGATAGGCTATGAAAATTGTTTAGCTGCAATAAAGGGCCAGCCCAAAGGGGAGACAGTTTGGGAACGCGGCCGCTGCCTCCTGCTGCCCCCTGCTGCCTCCTGCTGCCTGCTGCCTGTCGAGTGGATATCAGGCACAGCTTTTGCGCGTGTTTTCATTCTGCAGCCGGAGGCGTTGTTTCTGCTGTTGTTGCCCCGCTTGGTGGCATCATCAAGTGGTCAGAGTGCAAAGTTTAATTTGAAAAATACTTTTTTTTTTTTTTATTATGATTATTATTATTATTATTATATTGTTCTCTGTGTACGTGTATGAGTGAGTGAGTGTGTGTGTGTGCAAGTTGTTGTTGTTCTGGTTTTATATTTTATTTCAACTTTTTTTGCCTCTTTTTCTTTCTCTCTCTCTCTCTCTCTCTCTCTCTCTCTCTATCTGCTTTCAGTTGTTGCTGAGGGTTGTAGGTGTTGCTGTTAGGTGTTGAATTATGAGTAAAGTTCATGAGCTGCGCGGCGTCTAACAATTTATAAGCCAAATAAAGCCATGTAATGGCCATTGGCGGTTCGGGGCCAGGCACCTAAGCAGAAGCGCGCTCTCCTCTGTACATTTCTATGCCTGTATGTGTGTGTGTGTGTGTGTGGTGAGTAACGTTTGCGCAGAGGGCGTTTGCTTTGCTTCAGTTTGCTTAGCACTTAAGAGCAATTTTTTTTTTTTTTGTGTTTTGTGTTGTTTTTTTCTTTTCATGCTTCTTCTTCGTTTTGGCGGGCCTTTGCACTTGTTGTTGGCTGTGGTGGGCGAGTTAACAGCTGTTAGGCTCGCAATAACATTGCGATTTAACAGAATTACTTCAGCTAATTGCCCAGAAATCTGTTGCAATGATGGAGCATTAAATATTTAAGTAACTGGGCAGCTGACTGAGCAGACACTGAGCAGAGCTGACTGGGCATGACTTGCACTTTGCATTTGTATACACTTAATATGCTACTCTCTTTCGCTTTTCGCTTTTGCGGCTCCTCTGAGTGGTAATCAAGAAAATGCAAAAACCTTTTTTCCACTTGGGTTCGTTTTAAGCAGATTTAAAAGCTTTGCAATATTCATAAAGCCAGCGCCCAACAACATTTTCATTGTTGTCGATTATTGTGCCATGTTTGCCATTTGCCTATTTGCGTTAGTTTCCTTACTAGTATGTGCGTATGTGTGTGTGTGTGTGTGCGTGTGTGTAGCTGTTGCTGTAACTGTATCTGGTGGCCAGCTGCTGCCATCTAATTGTTGGCCGCTGCTGTGTAAAACTGTGCACTTGCCCGTGAAGGGAAGGCTGAGGCAGAGGCAAAGGCAAATAACAATTGCCTTCACATCGAGGATTCCCGCAGCGTTTTGACCAGCACGAAACGCCTATCGTAACATGAGACTGGCAACACGCGATGCTGGCTCCGTTCGCTCCCGCCTCCCCCCAGCCATGGACCATAATTTGAGAGCGCGCAGTGAATGCGTCGAGTCTCCTCGAGTCTCGAGTCTCGAGTCTAGTCGAGTCGAGGCGAGGCGAATCGAGTCGACGCTTAAGCACAATGCCCTACTAAATTACAGTTAATGTTTATTTCTTGGCCCCAATGACAGTCGGAGGCCAGTGAGCATCCAGTTGAGCAGTCGAGCATTCGCCCGGTTGCCCGGCTGCCCGGTTTGCTCGGTCGCCCAGTCAAGCCCAGGGCTTTGTTTATTCTTCTAATCTGTCTGCCTTTTTATGCGCTACACCTACCGTCCCATCAACTCTCTCCCTGTCTCCCTTACTCCAGCTCTCCATCTCTCTCCCTACTGCATTTCGATTGTATCTTTGACTGCTGGTGTTGCTGGGTTTTAGTTTTAGTCGTTTGTCCATTGCGATTGCCTTTGCCTTTGTTTTATGCTTCGCTTTCTATGGCTTTGGCTCTGGACAATGCTTTATTGAGTTATGGCTTGCATGCGGATATCCGCTAGCAGAGCGAGCGAAAGAGAGAGAGAGACAGAGAGAGAGAGAGAGAATGAGAGTGAGGGCACGCTGATACAGTCACACTTATATAACTAACCAACTTTGTTATTGGCTTTGAGGTGTCCCGGCCAAGAGACAGTCATAAATTAGCAACATTTTCAGTGGCCTCGTAAATTCCAAATATTGCACAAAGTCAATACGATGCACACATACAAATATACAGATATATATAAATATAAATACTTACCAATGCAGCACGAACTGTGCAAGAGAACAAAAGCAAATTGCATCGAGACTTACCTGAAAGAGAGAAAGAAAGATAGAGAATATGAATAAATTGATTATTCAGCTATTTACAAATACATAGTTGATGTCTATCTATGATTTATTGCAAATTCATTTCGAATTTATGTAAAATCCAACCACAAGCAAAAGTCTCGAGTTTCTTTTGGCTGCCCCAAAAAGTAGGCAACAAAAAAATGCAAGGAATGCACTACAAAGGCATATGGAGTTGCCAAGGGTAATTAAAGGAATGCGTAAAGTGTGTTTGTCCACTAGTGAAATGTATGCTAAATAAATGTAGAAGAATTTATAGAATGCAAGAAATGAATCTCAAGTACCAGCAAATATTTATTTATTAAAAAAACAAGTTGTTTATTAATAACATTTGCTCAAGTTGCTTAACTTCAGCTTTACCACATTTAGCTCTAGCTCTACAGCAACAGAGTCCACTGCTTTTTAAAGCCAACTGTAGACTATTCAGTTCACTCAACTCTCTCAGAAAGTTTGCAACTTTCAGTTTGTGTCATTGTGCGATTTCAAGTTAAAATGCAATTTGACTTTGTTATTTGATTTGCCAAATTACAATTGTTTCTTTATTTATTTTTCTGTTTTGTTTCCTTTTTTTTTTTTTAGTAAAGTGCCTTTGTGTTTTATGGCTGCAATTCTCTTTGTTTTAGGTGGGCGACCAATTAAGAAACTCATTTGGTGCATAAAGTTGAAAACTTAATCTCAAGCAGCTGAAGGAGCGCACAGCATTTCAATTCAAGTTAATTTCCAACTTTGGACTAATCTGCGCTTGTCATTGCCTTAATTGTTGACCAACAACAACAACAGCAACAACAATTGGCAGTCAGGTTTTATGCTTTGCTTTTCCGGCTGTACTGCCAATTTAGTTGATGGCTTTACGCCGCTTTTGGCCCTGGCCATAAACACCCGACGAAGCTGCGCCTCAATTTAAACATTGCCTTATAAGAGGTAAAAATGTAGTTGTTACATTTAATTATATTCATATCTTTTGGCTGCCAAACGTGCCACGTAATCCGACAACTTACAAAGCGGATGGGCCGTAGCAGTGTCGTTTCCTTGCCCCTTCCTCCCACTCTCCCACTCTCTCTCTCTCTCTCTCTCTATCTCAGTCGCTATCTCTCTGTGCTGCCGCCTTTGTGGGCGTGTCGCGTAAACTTTCGGTTCCTGCAAACTGTGCGAAATGTACAAAAATGCTGAACACATGCCAATTACCAAGCGCCGAAAGTGCCGAGGTGCCAAAATGAGGACTAAAGGTAAAAGCCTGCCACGCCTCTCGCTGCTGGCGCCACGCTACACGCCTCAGGCCGTCCGCCGTCCGCCGCCCGTACGGTTGCCAGGCAGAAGCTTAAAATGCGCGAATGCCAAACGACATTTACATTTACATACAAAATGCAAAAGGAACTCAACACGCGCCCTTTACAACTGTATTGCGGGGGCGGGGGCAGGCGCAGGAGGTGGGGCGCATGGTCGTCATATTTGGGTGCGCTCATGTGAGGAGCACGGATTCGTATTCGCATTCGGTTGAGGCTGCGGATTCATATAGGGCTTGCCTCTGACTTTTGCTGATGCTTGTTGTTATTGTTGTTATTGTTGTTGCTGTTGTTGTTGTTGTAGTTGTGTGTTCGCACATTTTATTATTTTTTATGACTTTTGACAGAGGTGCGAAAAAATACACATATGAAATGCGCAGCATACGACGTCCAGATGCCCTATAATTAGCTGGTTAATAGCGGAAGACTGAGAGGAGGCAGCTGACAGAAGCAGAGACTTGGAATCCTCGAGCTTTATGCAAATATCCTGAACATGAGCATACCCCGCCATAATTCGAATAGTTTTGACTTTGAAATGCTGACCTGTTGACCTCTTTGCTCACAGCTACTGCTTAATAAGCCCTGCGCAGGGTATTCTCCTAATAGGCAAGTGAAAAGTTGGCAATGGGCTTCTGTTTTCCCTTTTTTTATACCCTGAACCCATTGAAAATGGGAAATCAGGGTATAATGTTTTT